AAGATCAATTATTTGAGTATTATGTGAATTATGTGAATTTTTGTGCTTTATACTTGTTGATAAAATATAATAAATTAAGAATGAAAATAAGAGTTAAAAATTAAACGTTAGATAAACCTGATATCTATGAAGAAACTTGTAGTGATCATGATAAGGATTTTGGAGATATAAAGAACACCAAAATCCTAGTTATAACGAAGAAGTTATGACTTGTCGAAGTTTCGTGATAGAACCAGCATGATATTGCATGACGTAAAAAGTGAGTTTATGATAAAGTTATTTTTAGCCTTAGCGATCTAAATGACATTCGTAGTCTACGTTAAAGCGAGAGTGTGTTTAAAAAGAACTTCCAACTCTGACTTCGTATGAGGAAGTTATGAATTTTATAAGATTTGGCATAAGAGTGTTCGAATTTTAGCCGACACAACCTAAACGAGAATTTTAGAACGTCCAAATTTGGAAGCCCGGAGTTTGAATTTTAGATCGATCGATTTTTAGCCGACACAACCTAAACGAGAATCGAAGATCTCGTTAATAGGAGCTCAATAATAAAAAGACAGACGAAAACAGACGTCGGATGAAGAAGTTATGAATTTTCAACCCACTTTTCCTGTCACGACCTGTTAAAAATATAACTTTAAAAATAAATTCAAAATTAGCCCACGAAGTCTAAACGAAAGTTTTAGAGTACGGTCCCACCTTGTATGTGAAAGTTAAGAATTTTTGAAGTAAGATGTACACATTTCGAGGTTATCCGAAGGGGAACGCCCTACGTACCAAAGTACGCCCTACGTACGAAGCCCATACATTGCACGAACTCTTTCCTTCTACGGTCCTGAAGCAGCCACGATGCACCACCGAAGATCGGACACATGCCCCTTACGCCCCACGTAAATTCGACGTACACCCAGCGTACTATGAGGCTTCGGCCCTATAAAAGGGGTGCAAGGCCAGCTGATTTTCTCACACTTTTATTCATTTCTTATTCTCTCTACACTCTCTCTAGCCACCCTAAACCACCCGGAAGCCTAGGAAACCTACCTAACACTAGAAGAAAGCCCCGGCGCGCTCGAAGGCTCCGAGAAAAAGAGTTATTCTATTTAGAAACTATGTCCCCGCAGAGCCTGGTTTTTAAGCAAATCTCTCAATTTCGTCAAAAAATATTATTCTAAGAAGAGAAGTACCGTCCGAATCATCACCTTATCAAGTGACTGTATAGTCACTTTCGTCTTACACATAGATATGAAGTATTTTATATAAATTACGTGTTATGTGTATATATATTATCTTTTTACCTGATATATATGTTGGATGAAAGATATGAATTTTTTTCTTTCATATCTAAACTTTTTTCTTCAGATCTAAACTTTTCAAATCTGAAATGTATATGTGTTTTATATCTACAAATATGTTGGGTAAAACATGGGTAGATGAAATAGTTGGTGTGTGGTGAAATAAAATGATGAGAGGTCTCGGTGTTGACGATGATCCAGACATCTAGCGGAGTATAGATGACGACCACATACTTTTTTAAACAGTCAAGTAAAACGCGAGCAGGCTCTCAAACTGTAGGTGTTTGTGAACGACGTGTTCACCGGTATACTCCATCCCCCTCATGCTTTCCTTACAGAAATTTATGGCCAGGGAATCCCTTCAGCGGTAGTGTCCACCCCGATGATGATCCTTAGGCTAGGTCCCTCTTATGAGATGCTTTAGGGACATAAAGTGAGGATAACGGGAATGGGTAATCGGGTGAATGATTGTTGAAAATAATAAACTTATTTATTGTAGGCTGAAGACCCTATATTCTCACTAGGCTCCCAAGCCTGACTCACTCAGTTTCTTGTATAACAGGTAGTAGCAAGAGCATAGTTAGATGATCTGTTGAGAGATTATGGATTTTAGGCTAGTAGAAAATAAATAGAATGTTGTAAGGCCTATGTCGTTTTGTGGACTATAATGTTTTTTTCAGTGTTCTAAAAGGCGCGCCATGGCATGAGGCGTGGCTTCACCGTTACGAAAAACCTTATAACGTTGGTGTTAGCCGTGGCGTGTGGCAAGGCGTGATATGGCACGCCATGGCGCGTTATGGCGTGTTACGGCGCGTGTTTTTTCGTTTAAGACACTGTTTTTTGCTATTTGTTATGTCTTTTCTAATCGGAGATACAAATATTTTGGTTTTTGTTAACTGTTTGTAATTAGTTATTGAACTAATATTGCTAAAAGTAGTTATATTTAATATAAATTTAGATTTATGTGGTAATATAATTTTAAATTAATACAAAATTCCCGCCTTACATCACGCCTTGAAAAAACGCCATGGCTCGTTAAGCTTGAGGCTTGGTCTTGCCGCCACGCCACGCCTCACGCCATTTAGAACTTCGGTTTTTTTATGCTTTTGATCTGTATTGACAATGACATCCCGAAGTTAATAATGTAATCAAAATACGTTTCTTCGGAAATGCTTTGATAAATCTTTCTCATATTTTGTTTTGGGAACAAATTTCGCAACGTATTTCTTTAAAAGGTTACTTTAATTTTATTATAAAGCATAAATGAATCGGTCTTTTCTGGCCGTGAAATTGCAGATGTCATAGGCGGGGCCCGTATCTCATTGTTATGCGAGTGCGGGTGGAGCCCGTATCTCAATTGGGCGAGGTTCGTTATAAGAGTGTGGGCGATGACCGTATCTCATTTGGACGGGCACGTTATATGATATGTATGCTATGAGGTATATTGGGGAACTCACTAAACTTTATGCTTATGGTTTTCAGTTTATGTTTCAGGTACCTTGGTTTTAAAATGGAAGAGCTCGTGATGATTACAAAGCACACACCATATGTTTCCGTATTCTGTTATTTACTCTTATTCGATGATTTTTTTTTTCCTAAATCTTGATTACCTTGCTTTTATCTAACCGATATGTGTTAACGATTTATTAACATAAAAACAAAAAATTTATGTTGTTATCAGTAGGACGTTTCACATATAATACAACACCAAGCAAAATAGGTCAGCTGTAATCCAATCCATCGTAAAACCAAACTGTATTGTTATATAAGTAATTCAATACTTAAAATAGTTTTGAAAGCAACCAACCCGTGGTTTGTAGTGAGAGAGAGATAGAGAGAGAGAGAGAGAGAGGGAGAGACTCCAGTTAATGTTTATAACAAGTCCTATAACTGAGCTATGTGACTGAATGTACCCCCTACAACGCTTCATTGGACATTATAGTAACAATTGTAGACACTTATCATCCGCTTCAATTGAACAGTCGAGGTTGTAGCAAGCAACCACAGGTGGAGATTTCAACCCCGTATAGATCTATACATATGTATCTCGCTCCGAAGATTAATAGTTAGAGTAGTGTGGGTATGCTAAGTGTTTAGACTCAGCCAATGAATATAGTCTCATGACAAATCCGTTAACTTAATAGTACGTGAATAGCTCTCAACCCTAACTTAATTGTGGTTAAGTCACTAAGCATAATGAATTTCATTGTATAAAGTTTATAAAAACCGAGTATGCTTGATATGTATGTAAAAGTGTAATGTACTCTTTTTTATAAAGATGTATGTTTTAAAGTAAAGAACATATGTACATGTACAAACTTTATGTATTTAAACATATAAATATAGATGAATAGTAATAGTTTACATCGTTGAAATACTACAAAGTTTTATAATGTGCTTGTTATAATATACAATGTCGCATAAAAATCATATTTTTTTGTATCATGTATCATTTATTGTGTGGATGAGTTATTTCATGATAAAATAATCATAATATGTATACAAAAAGTTTATAATAGTTCATTTGTAACAATATGTTAAATTCTTAAATAACATTTTTATAAACTAGATTTATTGTATTTTCTCATCTTCTATCATAATAAAAGAATCTTTTTTGCCATGCGGCACTTCCACAAACCATTTTCCATCAAAGTGAAATTCCAACTATACCATTTTTATTCTGAAATATCTCTTCATATATTATCAATAAATCAAAAATCAAAAATTTGCATAATTAACTTTAAATCCCTATAAAATTGTAACGGACTAACATACAAATTTTGAATTCCCTTTTTAGCTTGAATTTCGGCATAATATTCAATTTGCCAATGTAATTCGATTCCATTTGATTTATAAAGATACGATAAGATTCTTACTTTTATATTTGATTTGTTATATGGTTAGTACATATAATACACATCCCTTTTCATTCTTTTATTAAACTTTAAATGTTATTATTTATTAAATTGAAGATGTTTATTTGTCGTTCCAAAAAATAAAGAAAATAAAAAAATAATTTTGTTTAATATATGATAGATAATATTTAAATGTATTGAATATTAAAATATTTTTATAATTTTAATGTATATTTTATGTTTAACAAATTATAAAACCCAACAAGTTGTTTTAATGTTTATTTATATTTTGTAATTCAAATGTTAATTGATTTATTATTTAGATTTATTTTGTTTTTTGTTTTCCTACATCTTTAATTTTGAGTATCATCTTCAATTTAAAAAAATTATGCATTTGTACATGTACGTTTATTTAAAAGTAAAGATAAAATGCTATAAATGTCTGCTTTTTTATTACCATTTTTAATTATTAGTAATTCAATTATTATATTTCCTTTTTTTACCCCGTGATCTTTACGAGTTGTAACTTAAGGGGTGTTTGGCTTAGCTTTTCACAGTCAAAAGTCCTTTTTAGAAAAGAAAAAAAAAAGCAAAAAATGTTTGATAACTAGTTTTAAAAAGCTACTTTTGGAGTTTTTATACAAGGAAAATCAACTTTTTGGAAAAGTTAAGAAATCCTGATTTTTTGTAATTTTTCCAAAAATAACTTTTGAGCATTAAGAAGCTAAGCCAAACACCCCCTTAGTAAATGATAATATATTTGTATAAACAAAATATATAGATACATGTATTCCCCCACCTCTCCTCGCGCAAAATAATTAAAATATTAAAAATAGGCCGTAAGCACTCACCCATGAGGCGTGAGTTCAAGTTGTTTGGAGCTCGTTTATTTTTGGGAAGCTTGACATGGAAAACTGCAAAGTCACGTTTTTTGAACTTTGAAATACTTCCGGGCCCATTTCATAATGAATTTAAACTATTGGGCGTTGTTTGGTAATTTAATTAACCAAACTATGACTGATTCGGTAAAAATAAATTAAAGGATGGACTGAAATGGTTTAAATGAAAGTTAAGTTTTGAAACTGGACCGATTTTGTTAAGAAATCTCCATGGGAGGGGTTGTATTGTTTAAAAAAAAATATGCCAAAGTTTTAGGGGAAAGGACAAGTTTTGAATAAAAGGGTCCAGCAGGGGGTATAATGTGTTCATTTCAAAAAATCACAATGATTTAGGGCTTTTTGTATAAGGAAATCTCATGGAGGGACTGATTGTGTTTAATGGTCCATACTTAATGAAATTAGGGCTTTTTGTGCCCGTTTCCTTTTGTTGATCGGGCAAAGAAAGGAACGAACGAAAGCAATGGACGAACACAGTGAGAGGGGAAATCACGAAAGCTCGTAGGCGTGATGTCGTCGATCCATTGCGAGAAGGTTCATCTACGGGGCTTGACGAGGCGAAGAAAGAAGATGGGGAGAAGCAGCGAGGCTGCTTTCATCCTCGTCTGGCTTTGAGATGTGAAGGAAGGTACGGTCCGATGGGGGTCCGGTGAGGTGTCGCGAGCAACAGCAGTGGCGAAGACGAGGTCCGGGGTTTGACGAGGCGAAGAAAGAAGATGGGGAGAAGCAGCGAGGCTGCTTTCATCCACGTCTGTCTTTGAGATGTGAAGGAAGGTACGGTCCGATGGGGGTCCAGTGAGGTGTCGCGAGCAACAGCAGTGGCGAAGACGAGGTCCTCGTAGGTCGTTCGTCGGTGGGAAGAAAAAAAGACGGAGCGAGGGGCGAAAAGGGAAAGCGATTTCGGGATTTTCAGATCGACGGTTTTGTGTGGTTAAGGGGTTGAGAAGGAAAAGAGAAACAGAAGCAGCGGTGCTCCTCGTGGTCTCGGTGTGTGCAACGAGGGCTGCTCAAGCAGCTCCTCGGCTGTTTTCTTCAGTTCCGATGGTTGCAGGTAAATGGACAGGGCTGCTTCACCGGTTCCCATGTTCTGTCTTCTTGTTTTTTTTCTTGATAGAAATCAATGGAGGAACAAAAATGGATTTTTGGGTTTGATCTTTGATAGCAGAAGGAGAAGGAAGAACAATGGAGTTTGATGTCCCATTGGTTTCACTGATTTCACAAGAACAACACCTCCTTTTGAGGTGTTCTCGACTGCTACGAAAACGAAAGGAAATAAATAAATAAATAAGACGAGAGGGAAACAGAAGGTGTGAGCGGCCTGTTCCTGACAACTCCAATCAAATTTCTTTGTGTTTAAACTTAGGTAAATTCAAATGTGGAAATAACTTCCACTTTGGTTGTACTTTGGTTTTGACTTGTAAGCATTGTATTGATTTAATTGGTATATATATATATATATATATATATATGATTAGGATCAAATGAGAATACCTAAAAGGTTGAAAACGCGATAACAGATCTGGACCATCGAAATTTTAAGATGTGTGGCTATAATTAATTGTTATTTTTCTAATTATTAATACATTTAAATTTTAAATTTTGATTTAAAGAAAATTGTAAAGGCTATTAAGGTAAATAAGCATTACCCTAATTTTGTAAACCCCTATAATTACTCTCTGCCTCTCTATTTCGTTGACCTAATCTCATAAAGCATATAATCGACATCTTCATCATGTCAGCGCCTCATCCCTACGCCACCATGCTACTATTATCATCATCATCGAACCTCGCCATCACAAAACCCCTCAGAGGCTTCAACGATAAAACATCACCCTCATAGTCCATGGACGAACCAAACATCCACCTTATATCGCCCTTCTTCCGGATTTTAGGGTTATGAATATACCCAATTACATAGTTGCAAAAAGAAAAAAGAAACACTTCTGTTCTTCATTCTTCTTTTTGAAGACCAAGACGTTGAATTCAATTATTGGCAAAACGAGTACAGTTTAAAATCTATCAGGTAATCAACCTTAATGGCTATTTTCTAATTCGATTTTTGATTTTGAATACTAGTCTTTGGTTCCCTACTTTTTGCTTAGTGGATTTATGATTATGAAGTGTTCAAGCTCCGATTTCTGAAATTTGAGGATTGAAGTTTGATTTATGATTCTAAAAACTAAACCGATTATTGTGATTTTTTTTCTAATTTGGTATGTGATGGTGACGATGATGGATTGATCAAAACAACAATCAATGGTGATGATGGTCTAGTGTTTTGCATAATATATACACACACTGACACAAATCAACAGAGGCTCCTCATCGTAAACCACACCTGCATTTCGATTTTTAGGTGAAGTGGAAGGCTCATGTTTATCATTTACGCACCAACTGTTTACTTAGGTGAAGGGGCAAATCCATCTCTTTCACTTTAATTACATCTCTTTCACTTTCATTTTTGTGTTTATCTGATTTTGGGGTTTTCTATCAAGAACATGAAATGATGAAGATTGAACTTGTTTTAGGAGCGAAGAAAGAAGAATAGGGAGCACCTCCACCGATTTGGTGGTTCATCACAGTAGTGGAGTGGCAGGGGCTATTCTGGCAACCTCTTCACCACTTCGTTTTCTTGTTCCGGTTACTGTCGTGAGAGGGGAGGAAGGTAGAAAGAAAACGACAACAGAGGGTGTTTGGGTTGCTTGGTGTGTCGTAAAACAGTGGGAGAAAATGGAGGGGGTTGCTGCCTTGGCTCGCCGGAAACCACTAGCAAACACCTCTGGTGGGGGTGTTTTTGTTGCACCTCGAAGACAAGAGAAAAATAAGTGAGTGTGAGAGGAAATGGAAGAATGAAAACTTGTATTTATCTATGAATAGCAGTGTATTTATTTGTGAATAGCAGTGCATTCATTTGTGAATAACAGTGAATGAAATAGCAGTGCATTCATTTGTGAATAACAGTGAATGAAATAGCTAAGCATTCATGTGTGGATAGCAGTGTATTCATTTGTGAATAACAGTGAATGAATGTATTTATTTATTATTAGAGGTATTTATTTATTCAATTCTGAATAACAGGGTACTTATTTGTTAATAGCAGTGTATTCATTTGTGAATAATAGTGTAAGCATGTGCTAATGAGTATATTTATTTATGATTAGAGGTATTCTTTTTATGAAGAAATGATAATTTTTACACTCTTTTTATTTTCAATTGATTAAAAAAAGAAGTTGGATTACTTGTAAATTGATGTGTATTTATTTGTGATTGGAGTAGTATCAGATTTTTTTGAAAAAAAAATCATTTATGAATAAAAATGTATTAATTTGGTGTATGATTTCTATTCATTTTTTTAACACAAAAAAAACGTGAAATAGGAGAAAAAATATTGATTTTTTTTAAGTTTTAAAATAATTTTGGTAAAAATGTTTTTTATATTCCATTAATAAGAAAAAAAAAATTGAATATTTTTTTTTTTTTTGTAACTGATCCTAAATTTAAGGGAATTTGATTGAATTTTATTTTATTTTAATTTAATTAAAATATACAATTAGTAGTATGCACTTATATATTTATTGATCCAGAATTGTTCTCGCGTTCTCAACCTTTCAGGTGTTCTCATTTGATCATTTCCCTATATATATATATATATATATATATATATATATATATATATATATATATATATATATATATATATATATATATATATATATATATATATGGGGATAGGGAATATACATTACAGCCTCACCTAAGCTTAGGTACTAAACCTTTAAAATATGTCGTTTTAACATGCTAAATATCCCCGGTTTGGTTTCACTTGGTAAATATATCATTCTCCATAACATTCCTTTCTTTCATTGTCGTTTTATCATCTCCGTTTTCTTTCCTCAATTATCGTTTATTACTTCATCCAAGTGAACATTACTAAACCCTAAACCTAAACCTAAACCCTAAATTTTAACCGTAAACACTAAAGCTAAACCCTAAACCCTAAATTTAAACACTAAACCCTAAACCCTAAACCTTAACCCTAAACCCTAAACCCTAAACATAAACCTAAACCCTAAACCCTATTGTGTCGATCTTGAATTTACATCTTGAAGTATTAATCATGAATCCATGAACTGTAATCTTTATATAGTAAAACAGTGAATGAATGTATTTATTTATTATTAGAGGTATTCATTTATTCAATTCTGAATAACAGGGTACTTACTTGTTAATAGCAGTGTATTCATTTGTGAATAAGCATGTGTTAATGAGTATATTTATTTATGATTAGAGGTATTCTTTTTATGAAGAAATGATAATTTTTACACTCTTTTTATTTTCAATTGATTAAAAAAAGAAGTTGGATTACTTGTAAATTGATGTGTATTTATTTGTAATTGGAGTAGTATCAGATTTTTTAGAAAAAAAAATCATTTATGAATAAAAATGTATTAATTTGGTGTATGATTTCTATTCATTTTTTTAACACAAAAAAAAAACGTGAAATAGGAGAAAAAATATTGATTTTTTTATGATTTTTTTTTTCAGTTTTAAAATAATTTTGGTAAAAATGTTTTTTATATTCCATTAATAAGAAAAAAAAATTGAATATTTTTTTTTGGTAACTGATCCTAAATTTAAGGGAATTTGATTGAATTTGATCCTAAAATCATTCTCCATAACATTCCTTTCTTTCATTATCGTTTTATCATCTCCGTTTTCTTTCCTCAATTATCGTTTATTACTTCATCCAAGTGAACATTACTAAACCCTAAACCTAAACCTAAACCTAAACCCTAAATTTTAACCGTAAACACTAAAGCTAAACCCTAAACCCTAAATTTAAACACTAAACCCTAAACCCTAAACCCTAAACCTTAACCCTAAACCCTAAACCCTAAACTCTAAACCCTAAACCCTATTGTGTCGATCTTGAATTTACATCTTGAAGTATTAATCGTGAATCCATTAACTGTAATCTTTATATAGTAAAACAATGTATTTTCAAGAGGTTTAGTACCTAAACTTAGGTGGGGCTGTAATGTATATTCACTTTTCCCTATATATATATATATATATATATATATATATATATATATATATATATATATATATATTTCATTTGGTATTTTAGTGAGTAATTGATGCACTTTGTGTTTGAGATGTAGTTGGTTGAAGAAAGTATGTAAGTAATCCTCTATTTGATAGCCAAAGACTTGCAAGTAATGTTTTGGTTTAATCATTCATACATTTGTGTAATGTACTGGTTTCATTATGTATGGAATGTGTGCGTATTGATCTATATTTCTAATAATTTTATATACTCCTTTAGATTTAATAATATTGTTTGTGTATTTGTTTGAGACAATTTAAGGCAATAATACATACATGATATTTATAAACTCTCCTATTAAAAGTTTTTATGTATGTTTGTAATATATATAAAGAATTTGAGATTTGGATGTAATAAGTGTCCAAATTGTCATATATATATATAAATATATATATATATATATATATATATATATATATATATATATATATATATATATGTGTGTGTGTGTGTGTGTGTGTATGCGCGCGCGTATTTTTAGTGTTGTTATGATATTTTAACCATATAATATATACACATTGTGATTATTTAACGTTTATTGATACATAGATTATTGTATGATTTATAAAATCTATAACTTATCTATAGTTGATCACAAGTTATTGGTTATGTATCAATATAAATTGTTATACTTAAAAATAAATATATAATATTATCTTTATCGTTAAAACTCACATTTGTTGGATTTGATAATAATATATTATTTCTATAACATATTATCAATAATTGAAATCATATCGAAATCCATAGTTTAAGGTTTCACGATTTACTTATTCAAAATGTCTGATTTTTTTACTTTTATAAATGTTTTTGATAAAAATATTTTGATTGTAAAATTAAATATTAGACTAGAGCCTGATCCCAAAAACGTTCTCGAAATTTTCATATGAGGTGTGCAAGTCCCTCAACAGATAGAAACGGTTTTGAGAGTTTTAAGAAAATCGGTATTATACTTGTTTTAGATTCTTAAAACGGTCGTATCTTTTGCATACGAACTCCGTTTTGGACGTTGTTAATATTTTCGGAAACCGGGAAATACATACTATGAGACTAGAGTGGTTTTTTTTCACAACAACTTAATACAAAATTTTAGTTCTTTCGATGCAATCTAATGGTTGCAGTTTGAGTTGTTTCATTTGTTTGCCAGATTACATATTTGGAAGTAAGATATTATCTGGTATCTTATTATAGTTAAAATAAACTCATTTATTTCACATAAGATGCACTAAAACCCAATGAGTCAGATTACCAAGAGGTTTACTATGAACTTGACCGTTCACAGTCTTTGACCTAAATTCTAGGATGTTACACAAAAGATTAGTGGAACTTTGTCACTAAGAACTATTAACTTGCCGAGAAGAGTGCGGTGGATTGGGAAAATTTTATTGAGAAATTCAAGGTAGAGTATGTTCCACAAGTAGATATGGAGCAACTTGTTCAAGAATATTTGTCACTCAAATAGACCAATGTATCAGTGTATGAGATCACCAAGATGTTTACCGAGAAGCCTTATTTTCCCATAATATGCCGCATTGGAGGAAGTGTAGATGTGTCGATAATTGAGTATGATCAATATTGATATCAGGGAGTTCGTATAAAACAATCGATATAAGATTTTTGTAGAAATTCAAGAGCATGCCAAGAAAAGATAAATTGAGTTAGAGACTCAATGAAACGAAAAAAGGTAGTCTCTAGCTCCGTCTTAGCCAACCACCAAGAATTCAAGCTCGGCGGATCAAGGTGTGAAGGATAGAGATTTCTTCGATGTAACAAGTGCAGGAAGTCACACAAAGGAGTTTCTCGTGCTTTGATATTCTGTAAGTGCGGCACGGAACAACATTACAACTGAGACTGTAATCAGGAAGAATAAAGAGTGTGTATATGTGTCCACTACAACCAGATAGGTCACATCAAGTCCAATTGTCCTCTTCTAAATCCAACCGGCGCAATACATGCTCCATCACCTGGAACTTTAAAGATAAGCAATAGACAACAGGTAAGAGTTGAAGCTCCAAGGACCAAAGGGCGAGCCTTTCAACTCATGGTAGAGAAAGCAAGGGAAGCACCAGAAGTCATGGTTGGTTTTTCTTCTGATCGAGGAAAATCCCCAACATAAATACGATCGCATCGGAGAGATTAATAGTGATTTTGACTTTATCTAAAACCATGTGTAATAAATATTTGATGATAAAGTTATAAAAAAATATGGAATGTTAAGTTTATGTTGTTGTTAATGTTAAGATTACATTTCAAGACAACATTGTGTCTCTCCTTTACTATATAAGGAGTTGATGTTTCATGTATTTGTTGGGTTTTAGCCATAAGAACTTTCCTATGTGCGCATGCAAAACCCTAATGCTTGGATCTAGGCTTTCTAATAAACATGCTTTTGAATCCAAGACTTCTAATGGCTAATTAGGTTAAACAACAACATTAATACAGATCTAGAATCATACCTTTGAGTTCCTTGTTGATCTTGTTGTCTTGGAGCTTCTAGAGTCACAATTGTCACTCCTCTAATGGTTTACAAACACCAATAGCAAGCAAGATGATTTAGGAGAGAGGAGAGGGGATGGAATTCGGCCAGAGGTTCCTTGCTTTAGGTTCTGAAAGGTTGTACACGAATTCCACATCCCAAGGGCCTATTTATACTTGTAGACTCCTTAAGGGTTTCACCCTAAACCCTAATTGGATAATCTTCTCTTAAGGCTATCCAAAT